CACGACAGACACCACGGGATGGGGAACGCTCCAGCCAGCGAAGAACGGAGCCCAACCGAGCGGGTGGACAGCGACAGTGTGAAAAGCCATCGACGACGTAGACTACAAGCTGCCCTGAGCGACGACTGAGTCCCGTCCGCAACTTTGGGGGAGCCCCTCATCGGGGGAAAGAACCATGCCTTGCTGTGAGGTCAACGATTCTAGTTCACGTATGTTTGCCCCCTAGGGCCCTCAGGTAGTGCTGTCCTTTGTTTCCTCTTTGTTACAACGACCGCATGGCAGTTCCGCATGGTGAGGTAGTGCGGGGAAAGACTTCGCTAGTGATACACTGTAGTTCACGCATGGTAGCTCCCTAGGGCTTCCAGTATGCGCTGTGCAATTGTTTCCGCATCAAAAAACACTGTGCAGTCTTACCCGCACCAAATCATGTGTCTGTCGACACCTCCTATTGGGGGAAAGCTTGAGCCTCCTGGTGGAATGTGGTTCTGGGTAACTGACGCCGTGTACTTTTGACACTTTGGAGTAGCAAGCATCGCCTCCCGTTGTGGGCAAAGCCCTCGTGTTGGTAGGGTACTTTCTGATTGTGGCATGCGGGGGATCGGCTCTTCTTATTGCATATTCGTCCGGGCCTCAGTTCTGCAGTGCGCTGTTGTTAACTCTGTGCCGTTGCCAGCACCCCTGCCACACACGTGGGCTCAGTACCATGACCCCTCCGTACTTCGGGGGGACCCGGACTCGGCTGTGGTGGCAAACTATGGTTCACGTATGTTAGCTCTCTAGGGCTCCATGTATGCGCTGTGCCGTTGTTTCTGTATGCATCACCGCCACTCAGTTCTGCCAGCCTCGAATGATGTACAGGGGAAAGTTATAGTAAGACAGAGTGCACCGGGAAAACTTGTTCTCCAGTACTTCTTTTGCTGTAGCTACGGCGGGGGACGAGGGCCTATCGTCATGCTCATCTCTTACTTGTTTAGTTTATTTCGGTATTCCTAAGTACTGCTGTTGCTTCTGTCCTGTATCAAAGCCCTCGAAACCGACGTGAGTGAGCTGCACCTTGGCCTCCAACTTGGGGGGAGTCAAGACTTGGCTTGTGGCGATGAACTGTAGCTGTCACAAGTTAGTTTGTTCTTTAGGGCTCCGTATGTGTTGTGTAGTTGCCTTCATGCCCGTCGCCGCCACAGAGTCTTGAGATGTCCAGGGGAAGTGAGCTGTGCTGGCCATATGGGGGACTAGCGACTGTCTACACTGTTGTTACTACTGTTGCTGTAACATCCTTTGTAAGCCGGCATGACTGTTCCTGTGCATGTGTTTGCAGTGAGTATACGATCGTCAGCTCTTCCAGTGCATCAATATATGTCGCTTTAGCCTTTGACGATCTATACTCTTTTCTCACTCCCCTTTGCCCAATAACACATTGGGTGGGCCTGGCGCCCGGGGGCACTGACCTGCCCCTATGCCCCGTGGAGAGAGAGAGAGAGACAGAGATGTACTTGTCACGACACTCGGGGAACCGGGGGGAGACTATTCTATGGAAAGTGTTTTTTGCAATCCGGTTCCCCACATGCATGGGGGCTCTACAACGGTGATAGACATGCAAGCCCCTTGATGAGTGCAATGGGGGCGCGGGGATGAGGCCTGGCCAGATAGATTTCAGATTCGGGGTCGGGGGCTTGCTGCATCACCGTACGGGACAAACAGTGTCTCTTGTTGCCCCGGTCATTGGGACCTCATCAGCCGGCCACTCATTAACACGGCGGGTGGTCGGGCGGGCCCAAGGCCTGAGGGTCCCTAGCGGACCCCTAAGCCCGGCAGAAAGAAAGAAAGAAAGAAAGAAAGAAAGAAAGAAAGAAAGAAAGAAAGAAAGAAAGAAAGAAAGAAAGAGATGTACTTGTTGAATGTACTTGTTGGGGGTTTCTCACACTCGGGGGTCCACCTCGCTGCGCCCTTTTTACTTCGTGCACTTCACTACTTCCCTTGCCCCCTCCCCCTGTTTTGAACGCGAAGCATGGGGACCCACGGGTAAGTTTCTTTCGCTGCAGCAACAGTGGGGAGACGGAGACCTGTCACCTAGTTCCAGGTTGTCTTGTCTCCAGGAGGTTGCGGGAGTGGTTGTTTTTCTGCCAGTCTGCTTCTGTAGGGGTGACAGATTTCGAGACAGAACCCGCGCAACTCGTTGTCTCTGAGCCTCGCTGCATGCTATGATACTGTTTTGCTGATGTACTTGCTCTCCTCGGGGGGGCTGCCCCATGTCGGCTTGGTGCTCTGAGCGCTCAGAAGACACCAGTTACGAAGCACTGCCGTGGGGAATAACCCCAGTGTACCATTTCTGCCGTCATAAGCCCTCTGCCTCTTGGTCGGTTTGCCTTTTCCCACTAGTTTGAGCGCACTGCAATGGCAGAAGTCGTGCAGTCGGTAGTGAGTGCAAAACCCGCCACCCGCTCCAAAACGGTCGGGGGCGCTGACAGCGCGCGGGCAAGGGGAGCTTCCCCTTGTCCGTAGCCCTGGCGAGAGAGAGAGAGAGAGAGAGAGAGAGAAGAGAGAGAGGGAGAGAGAGCCAAGCCCTCCACCACAACTCTGGCGAAAGAAAGAAAGAGACGAGGCTCGGGGATTTGTTCGGGATGAAGGTGACGAGGCGGTAACGTGCGGGTTAAAGGTGTGCCATGTCGGGGCCAGTTTCGCGGCGACATTTTTGCCTGGACGCAGGACGCACAGGTCCCCTTCGAAAAATGGTAGGCTTGTCCTGCCTTTAACCTGCAGCAAGCAAG